GTAGTCACCACAAATCCTAACCTCACCGTTTTCTTTGCAAACAGTCACAATTGGGGTGCACCATTTTGGGTGCGTAATCGGGTCTAAAACCCCTTTCGCAATAACCATGTCCAGTTCCTAACTTTCGATCTTTACGCTTTACACATAATCGGCTTTACATTTTTGTCCAACGAAAAACTTACTGGGGGACCCCGGTAACAGCCTATGGCAGATGCGGTTATATGATGCACAAATGGGGTAAACGACCATCCCCACTCTGTGACTGCGGACAACCACAAACCATCTGTCACATCACAGAACAGTGTCCCACAAGATCCTATCAAGGCAGGTCAGAGGATTTCCTAATGGCGACTCCAGAGTCGATAGAATATATAAATAAGTTAGATGTCCGTTTGTAAACATATATGTATTATGTTTTATACAAATTATGTGTAAATTTAAATGTAAATGTGTCAAGTGCCATACGATAAATAAAAATAAAAATTTAAAAAACATAAATGATGTATCCTCCATATGTTACTGACTTACTAATACTGGTATTTTCTTTTTAATAACTTCCTCTTTCAATATGGGTAACCAGATCCTACTATATTCTGCCGAGGAATTTGCGACACAATTGGTCTCATTTAGCATAATTAGAGCCGCTTCTTTGATTTTTCTCTTTTTACCATCCGTTTCTTTTAGGACTATATTTGAATCATTCCATTGAACTCTATGTTCATTATCCCATGCGTGTTTACATATTTGAGATCTATCAAATTCTCTATTTTTAATATAAGACTGATGTTCACTTATTCTAACATTTAATGGCCTTGATGTTTCACCTAAATAAAACTGATCGCATTCACAAGGTATTTTATAAATGCAATTCTTTGTCCTTTCTTGTTCATTGTTAGGTTTGGTTTTGGACAAAATAGATCTCAACGTGTTTGTTGTTTTGAATGTTGTTGAAATGTTGAATTTATTTCCTATCCTTTTAAGTTTTTTTGATAATCCTTTTATGTATGGTATTGTTATTTTCCTCGTATTATTCCTTGTGTATGCTGTAGGATCTCGTTCTAAGTTGTTCTGTTCTATTCGATCGATTGTTGAATATTACTTATTTAAAAACGATAAATGATAATAATTTTTTAATAAAACAGATGATAACAAATGTTTCTCCTCCAAGAACGAATTTTCGTTAGAACAAGTAATTTTGGCTCTATCGTATAAGTATTTAATGATTCCCTTTTTAATATTAATATTGTGATTTGATTTGAAATTTAAATATCTGTTGGTGTGTGTTGGTTTTCTATACACCTGAGTCTCATATCCAGTATCTTTCTTAGAGATTAAAACATCCAGGAAAGGTAGTGTGTTATTATATTCCTTTTCCATGGATAAATGTTATTGTCTCTTCTTTATCGTTTATATCATTTAGTAATATAAATATAGCTATAACAATGGATATGTCCGCCGGACATATCCTCCGGACAGATACGCATATGAATAAGGCCCTTAACAGGAATAGAAAACTAACGAAACTGGTTTAAATACGCAATCTATATACTTAAATAATATATCTGGTAGGGGAGAGTCCTACATTACCGTCACCTTAAGGTTTATCAACAAAAAAATCAAAATGCTAAAAGGTACATGTTTAATACTTCCTGTCATGTATGAAAGGACTATTATGCTGTCAATGAAAGTAATAAACAATCATAATGTTTCAAAATAATCACTTTATTAATGAAAACTAAAGATAAGGAAAAATCAAACTTTATAAAATTGGCCAGTACCGGCCAGTAAATATATTACCAATTAAACAATACAGAAATCACAAATATATTGTTTGGATAGCTCTGATATGTTCGCACAAGCCTCATGAACCCAAATATTACAGTTTCCACACTGTATCCAATCCTCTTCATGAGATTCAGTGCACAAAGGACAAACTGTCTCTTCTTCAACCGGTCTGCTAGGAGGAGGTAGGTTTTCATCTTTATTTTTCCTACTTTTCTTACTAACATATCTTCCTGACAACAAGCTTTTACCTTTTTGAACATATTTTCCTGAGACCTTATTTTTTTTGTTAACGTCATTTTCCACAAGTAAATTCTTCCCTCGTTTAAGTGATTCGACGCTTGTTTTGCCTGCTTTTTTCTCTTCCAGCATTTTTTTGTATGGAGAACCAGTTATAATTTCGCTTTTTTCAGCTTTACGACGCCGGGCAGTTGCTCTTCTTTTAGAAGCATCAGGAACCGGTGAGAGTTCTGTAAGTGCAGCTTTAAAATTGTCTGTGGATAGGTCAATTGTAGCTTCTTCTTGAGATTCTAATTGCCGCAAAAAAGCAATTTGTGATTCTCCATTAGCAAGAGTAGTTTGGTTGTCGGAATGCACAGAATTTGTAATATGGGCTACGAGATCAGGAGCAGGAGTAGTAGATGTTGGTTCTAGCAGTTGGGAAGATGAAGGCAACGGTTCTGATGTTGAAGGTGTTGCTTCTAGCAGTTGGGAAGATGAAGGCAATGATTCTGACGTTGATTGTTGTTCTGTAATGTTGGTTATGTTAGAACAAATAAAGTCCAAATCATTAAAGACATTTTTATCAAAGGGGTGTATGCCTGTGCAACGAAAGCCACTAACTGCGATTTCCATTCGAGAAACTCGATTAAAAGCTGAAGCAACTAAGCCAGCAATCTCGTATTCACTGATTCTAATACCGGGATTTAATCTCATCCACAAGTCACATGCATTATTATAAGCAGATTTAAATGGCTTCATGAACGTACGATCCAGTGGCTGTAGCTTATGGGTCGTATGTGGTGGGGTGCTAAGCATATGGATGTTATTTTTCCGGGCAAATTCAATAACATCTAAGTCCTTATGACTCGCATGTCCATCTAAAATCAGGAGAACTGGATTCTCGGCTGTAGGATTAGAATACTGCACAAAATGATGCATCCATTTTAAAAATAATTCGGCATTCATCCAGCCGTTTGGCTGAGCTTCGCCTACGCTCTCATTTGGGGCGTTAACCATTAGTCTTTCATTCATTCGGACTCGTGGAAATATAAAATATGGTGGAACAAATTGACCTCCAGCGCTCATTGCAAAAAGCACCGTCACGTTCTTTCCACGTTCTGCTGAAGTCAGTTTTCCTACTTGTTTTTGGTTTTTAGTAGCTAAAACTTTGGCATGTTTTTGGACAATGCTGACACCAGTCTCGTCGCAATTCCATATTTTATAAGGAGTGAATTTAAACCTCTGTATCAAAGTCTCTAAACCATCAAAGAAACGCTCAACCTGAGGTCTGTTAAATCCTACTGCTCTCATTAAGCTCGTTGATTCAGCACTCCGCAATGATAAATCACTATGTCTTTTCATAAAAGAATAATAATAGTTTTTCCCTGCCATTTCTTTTTCTTTATTAAACTGGTGAGGTAACTTCAACTTCTCTGCCAGTTGAAAAGCAAGACGTAAAAATTCTTGCCTGTTTAAAGGCATTAGTCTATTGGCCAAGTCTTTAACATGTGTCGCCAATGTTTCTTCATGTTCAGGTGAAAAAGTATTGTGAAAACGACCCATAACTGGCTCAATGGATATCTCTTTATTATTTTTAATAGCACTTACTCTGTCATTCAATGTAGTTCGTGGTATCTGATAGCGTTCGGCAGCTTGGCGTGCACTCATCTCATTATTCAGTACCTTTTCCACGGCTTTTCGCATGTTCGCAGGATCCCAGCTGCCCTTTTTTTGCCTCACATGAACATTATTTTTATCACTTGGCATTTTTGCGTACCTGTAAGTAAAAGAAATCTTTTAAAAACGAACTTTATTATTGGCCGGTACTGCAGGACAATGCAGTGGCCGGTACTGGAGGAAACGAAAAAAAAATAAGTTTGTTTACAGGTAAAAACAAACGCACAAATATTGATTTAAAGTATACTTTTTTATAGTTATATAAGTACACTATACATACCAGGAGTTATTTGTTTTAAACTGGATCTTTAAATGTTGAAAATCACCAACAGAATTTTAAATATGCAGTGTACGTCGTGTATGTCAGAACACTAAAGTGTTATGTCTGGTCTCTATTACTATATGACGTCAACAAACTGAATTCATTCGAAATGTGGATGTACCGCCGAATGCTAAGAATAAGCTGGACCAGCAAAACTACAAATGAAGAGGTACTGGAAATAATGAACACACGACCTCATCTGGTTAATACAATCAAAATTAGAAAGACGTCATATCTAGGACACATAATGCGCCATAAGGAATTTGAGCAGCTCCAGGTAATTAGAAGGCAAAATCGAGGGTAAAAGGGGTATAGGAAGAAAGAAGAAATCCTGGCTCCGAAACATCAGAGATTGGACTCACACAACAGGAAATGACTTAATCCATCAAGCCCAGAACAGAGAGAAATTTGCCATATTGATCGCCAACCTCAATAGAGAAGGCACTTAGGAGGAGGAGGAGTGTACGTCTATGATGCCCAACACAAATCTTTGCACTGACAAGAATCCTGTCGCGACAAGTTGACACCGCGCTGGGCTTGTACAGCTTGTACTTATAGGAGTGTCTCGCAGTCGCACTAGTACCGATAATCATCACCGTACCATCTATTATAGGTTTGTAGAACTTTCAACTGGCCGGTACTGTATGCCGGTCGGTACTGTGGGACTCTCCCCTATACAACTTACAGTTAGTTTGCTCACTTTAACTATAATTAAAAACTAGTAGTTTTACCACAGTATATTGCTTAATAAAGAATAGCACTATGAAGCAATATACTGAGGTTTTACTGGTAATAAGCAAAATATCAAGAGCCGATTTCATTTAATTGATATTTTAAGTATTTATAAAATCTATATAAAACTAATACGAAATGTTGAGCACAGGTTTCCCCTACACAATTTAAAAATAAAAATTGTTATGTCATGACCCTGATAATTTAAGTGATAAATAAATAAACAATTTAGATTTTTAATGCTAATCTTAATGTAAGGTACCAATGATTTTAGTAAACGTGTTCTTTGCTTTGAGATAAAACAACAAGCGGTATAAAACCAAAAGCAAAGATTCAAAATATATTTTTCAGAGAATTAATTGCTTTGTAATAGAATAAAAATGTCTAACTCTGTAACAAATCTTGTGTGTGTCAACGATTATGAAGAATATGCCAAGGAGAAGTTAAAAAATGGCAGCTTTGACTTTTATAATGGTGGAGCTGGACAACAAAGAACTTTGGAATGGAATAAAACTGATTTTAGCAAGTAAGCAATTTATTCTTAATATAAAATTACTATGGAAAAATTCCTAGTAGTTGACTGTCTACCATAATTTAAAACCAAACAAGTAAGTCTAAAAAATTCTTTTTGTAATTGGTATATTTAGAAGTAAAAATTATTCAAATGTATTTAAAACGTTTTACACTTTACAATTCACTTAATCCTTTGGATGATTTGTACATTTAATTATACCTAATTACAAACAAGAAATTTTTATACTTCCTGTTTATTTTTTAATTTTATACACTACAGTATATACCATAAAGTAAGTAACAAACGAGCGGTTACTTAATGATTTAAATATAACAACCGATATCGAACTGGAAGAGCGCTTTTGGAATCTACAGATTGCTTGCTCAACCGTTTAAAATACATATCAGCTTTGGACAAGAAACTCCAAGAAATCATTGAAAAATGGATCACTAAAGTTGTTTATTTCCCAATCACCGAATCGATTCCCTCTATTACAAAAGATATATAGTCTAGGCGGGATCTGTTTTGGATTGGAAATTTTTGAAGGGAAGCTATTTTTTTGCTGGAATCCCTTCAGGATGTGTCCATTATCGATAATCACGATATGCGCCAGTCGCAAACCCTGTGCTAAATTTTTTATTTAACAAAATCTGAAAACAATTGAAAATTTCTCATTTTTTTGCACCTATTTTCATTTATAATTCGGAAAATATTGATCCTAGAGAAAAAATTATAGGTAGTTAAAAGTTTCGTTATTAAATTTTACACAATATTTTGTTAGCTAGAAATTGAAAATTTAATGGTTATTGTTGAAAAAAAAGCAATAATTGGAAAAAAAAGTACAAAAAAATGAAGTTAATCCTTTAAATGTTTTCGACTTTCTAAACTTGACTTACAAGTTCCATATTCCGCGTAGAAAAACTTTTTAATATGTTTAAAACGTGTGCTAAATTTTGTTAAGATCGGTCGGATAGGTTTTGCATAATAATTTTGCAATCCAGCCTACTGGAAAAAAATCGCAAATTTTCAAATTTATAGTAGGCCCTAAATAAGGCCCTCAGATAGTTGTAATTTTTTTTACATATAAAGGAAGTCTCAAACTTTCAAACGCTTTTTGTAAAATTTAAATCGGTTTACTAGGAGACCCTAGAAATTTTAAGAAAGTTATAAACATTTTTTAGGCTTATAAACAAATTAAATAACTTTACGAGCTTTACGAGCTACATATCAATTTCAAAATGTATACACTTAAAGAACATTAAAAGAAGCTTCTTTTAAAAAACAAAAAGATACATTCGGCTTACTGGTTGCCGAGATATTGAAGGTCAAAGTTGGTATACATTTGCCGTGTAACCATAAGTGATAGAGGGCTCGTTTTTAAACAAATACCCTCGTCTTGCCAAATACTTTTTATATGAAAAGTTTTACGTAATGCGCTTCATGGCAACATCCATAAAAAAGACAAATAAAAAACCGTTTTCGCGTAAAATGTCGCTCGGAATGCATGAGAAGTGGTGGTGAGGGACATTCACTTCAAATGTGAATCGGCGAGTATCAAGTAGGGGACCATCAGTTTATTTAATTTCGGGTTTTGAAATATATACAAAAGTAAAGTGCTCCAAAATCTGTAAGGGCTTGTAAAGTAAATTGTTACTTTTAGTAAACAAATATGTATTTATAAATTGTTAATAAATAATTTGAATTGTTAAAACGAAGGAAATTTTTTTTTTGTAAAAATCAAACATTTTAAAATAATTAACATTAAAAATAATTTATTTCTGCAACTTCAAGCGAATTAAATTTTCTTAAATCAATGTGTTTCATGTCCTGACTTTGCAAACTGGATTGTATACATTTTGTTAAACTGTCTTGTTTAATTACTCGAGTTTTACATATCGACAATAATTCGTCACAAAGGAGGCAGATTTTTTCACTCATCTTTTTAAATCAATGAATCTAAAAAACTAAAATAGTTTAGCCTCTCAGATTCCAAGTATTATCTAAATTTTAAATTATATGAATTTAGAATAATTTTGTAAAAAAATTATTAGTAATATGTCAATCATTTTATATAAAATGGAGAATTTTATATAAAAACTTCTCTTAAAATGGAGTCGATGTGCTCGTACAATCCTCACAAAGCAACGCGAAATATATAAACTTTTTATTAGTTTTTGAAATACAAAATATTTTACTGTTAAAACTCACGGATTTGACAATATAACTACTATATTATAGCGTTGAACATAATATGATCAAACCACTGAAAAACGTGTTCAGCACGCCTTTAATACAAGCCCTTACAGATTTTGGAGCACTTTACTATTTGTTTTTATTTCAAAACCCGAAATTAAACAAACTGATGGTCCCCTACTTGATACTCGCCGATTCACATTTGAAGTGAATGTCCCTCATCACCACCTCTCATGCATTCCGAGCGACATATTACGCGAAAACGGTTTTTTATTTGTCTTTTTAATGGATATTGCCATAAAGCGCATTACGTAAAACTTTTCATATAAAAAGTATTTGACAAGACGAGGGTATTTGTTTAAAAACGAGCCCTCTATCACTTATGGTTACACGGCAAATGTATGCCAACTTTGACCTTCAATATCTCGGCAACCAGTAAGCCGAATGTATCTTTTTGTTTTTTAAAAGAAGCGTCTTTTAATGTTCTTTAAGTGTATACATTTTGAAATTGATATGTTTAAAGCTCGTAAAGTTATTTAATTTGTTTATAAGCCTAAAAAATGTTTATAACTTTAAAAAAATTTATAGGCTTTCCTAGTAAACCGATTTGAATTTTACAAAAAGCGTTTGAAAGTGTGAGACTTCCTTTATATGTAAAAAAAATTGCAACTATCTGAGGGCCTTATTTAGGGCCTACTATGAATTTGAAAATTTGCGATTTTTTTCCAGTAGGCTGGATTGCAAAATTATTATGCAAAACCTATCCGACCGATCTTAACAAAATTTAGCACACGTTTTAAACATATTAAAAAGTTTTTCTAGGCGGAATATGGAACTTGTAAGTCAAGTTTAGAAAGTCGAAAACATTTAAAGGATTAGCTTCATTTTTTTGTACTTTTTTTCCAATTATTGCTATTTTTTCAACAATAACCATTAAATTTTCAATTTCTAGCTAACAAAATATTGTGTAAAATTTAATAACGAAACTTTTAACCACCTATAATTTTTTCTCTAAGATCAATATTTTTCGAATTATAAATGAAAATAGGAGCAAAAAAATGAGAAATTTCCAATTGTTTTCAGATTTTGTTAAATAAAAAATTTAGCACAGGGTTTGCGACTGGCGCATATCGTGATTATTGATACTGGGCATATCCTGAAGGGATTCCAGCAAAAAAATAGCTTCCCTCGAAAATTTCCATTATGGTCTGAATTTCTACAGATGCCGCCTAGTCTATTATATTAATAATGCATCCCATGTCTCCACCGGTTGATTGAGTAGGGATCGAATATTACTTGTAGGGGAAGGAGGGGAGCTTTCGACCACAAAATGGTTTTTTGTATATAAAAATTTGTTAAATGCAAATTTTTAAAATAAAAGAGCATTAATAGGTAGATCAAAGTTTTGTTCAAATAATTAACCTGAAATTAAAGAATAAATAAAACCATTTAACAGCAAAAAAAAATATTTTTTAAACTTTACAAATGGTCGAATGCTCTCCACCCCTAGGGAGCATTCGACCAGGTGGAGGGGAGCATTCAACTATGTTAAAAAAGGATATTTAAAGGAATAAAAAAGGAAAAAGTTTTGAAAAAGTACTAATTTTTGGATGTGAGTATAAGTTAGTCCGTAGTTAAGGTCAGAGCATCTCTCGATATATGCTTCCAATTCAGCTTCCTGCTCTACCGTAAATACCTATTTATATTTGTATATTTGCTTGAAAATTCTGGTGAATTTCTGGCAGCGTCACTTTCATTCCCAGAGTCATTCGGATTTTGCGTATTCTGCCGCAAATACTCTTTTTTTCTTTCTTCCGTTTTCTTCCGTAATATCTTTTTCACCCTACTTTTAAGTGTTGACCTCTTTATTCCATGAATTCGGGCAGCCTCCCTTTCTGAAGAAGTTCCGGTAAAACAGTCTATAATTGCTTTTTTAATGGAATTTTCGTCTATTTGGTTTCTGTCTGTTTTTAGTACTCGTTTTCGATGCATATCTAAAAAAATACAGCAAGTAAAAATATGGAAAGTTTTTTAAAATTTATTACACAATAAACAGTGATTTATTAAAAAGACCATATTTTGAATAAAATTCCAAAAAATTCGTTTTATTAGCTAATTTAGTTCTCGAGTTAAAGGTAATTTAATTATTGTTTGCCCAAATTTATTAATCCTTGTCTCACTCCCCTTCAGTCTTTGTTTACCTTCCACATAAATAAAAAACATAATACCAAAGAAAATAATATTTTAAAACGGCTGGGGAGCATTCGACCAGTGGTCGAATGATCCCCAGTTTTTGGTGGTGGAATGCTACCCAGGGTACAGAAACAGATTAATTAGTTCCACAAAAAATATTTATAGTTTTTGAGTTAGAATTGTATTTGTCAATCAAAACTACAATATCTAAAGATTCCTTGTACAAAATAATGAAATCCAAAAACCAGGTTTTTAAGCAAATGTTACTTGATGTTTGAAGCAAAAAATTCTTACCAAAAGGTGCGTTTTTCAACTTTTCTCCTTAAAAAATCAGAAACGTTGTATGCATATGTGTAATTATGATCACACGATGCGCAACTAACAACATAACCTAAAGTCACTTGATTTCTGCGGGAAATTTAAATCACTTGGAAAATAAATGTGATGGTTGAATGCTCCCCTTGGTCGAATGGTCCTCTCCTTCCCCTACTAGTGTCAATTAGATAACGAAATGAAGAAGAAAAATTTTGTTTAATGTTTTATCTACCAAATATAAATTTTATATTATTATGAGTGAGTAACGAGTATTTGCGAATCTATCACAGAGAAGTTTCCAAGCCACTATG